ACAGCCCATAGGTGGCGCTGCAAATCACTACATTTTGTAATTATGCATACTTTTAATTAGGGACAATTCTGGAGGGGTCATGAATCACCTTCTAATAGGAATCTGCATGATTCTTATAAAAACTGGCTCTTAAGTATTCAAATTACTGATGGATTCGAGGGTTTGTACCCAGTTACCACCAGAAATTAAGCAAAATATTCCCTCACTTTGAAGCAGTGGATGACAGTGAAATCTCATTATTCAATTAGAGTAGTCCACAATGTTGGCAGTGGGTGGGGTTAACTAGCTGTCTTCCTTCTGGTCTGTCACTTAAAAATTAGAGATGGCTAGCAAGATAACCCTCGAGTAGCTTTGTGCAAAATTCAGCAAATGAGCAAAGAATCACTGTTGCTTATGTTTTTCAAGTGAACAGTTTTGCTGTAAGCTTCAGTGATCTGAAACAAGAGTTTGTGAATTAGGTATACCCATGTTTTTTTATCTGTACAGACGTCGTGTTCTGGTTTGTGTGCTATTTAACAATTGTGGTCGTAAGAGTCGGAAGCACCAAGATGAAAAATAGGGTTTTGTCTCAAGTATTATTTACTTTCAAATGTTTCCATTTTAATTGCTTACATCAAAGTTGATTTAAAATGGTAAAATTCAGAAAAAAAGGTGTAATTTTAAATAGAATAATTACTTGTGGTATAACTATCTATAAGTTGTGTCAGAAGAGAGATTTATCAAATACAGCTAAACTTTAGACTTAAATAGTAATGATCTCACTGAACTGTTGGTTTTAGCTGTGGACCTCTTAGACAAGATGCTGACCTTTAACCCTCACAAGCGAATAACAGTGGAAGAGGCTTTGGCTCATTCGTACTTTCAGGAATACTATGACCCAGCTGATGAGGTAATTGTTTATTCAAATGTTTGATGTGTAATATTTTGTTACGCTACAGTAGGTTAGTTCTATTCATGAAGTACACTTTCACTAAGTTTTCTGAAATTCTGGAGTGCTCTTTTAAGTTTATAAATGCAGTATTTAGACAATTTGTTTGGACTTGAAACGTTTAGCTAATCGTTAATAATGTGGTTAATAATGGTCAACCAGATACAGAATAGAGCCACATTTATATTCTTTGTTTACATGATAGATAACTAAAATGAGTGTCTTTTTCTTGTGAACAATAGGCATTTTTATGCCTCCACCGGTTTACATAGTAGAGCAGAGCATATGGTTTACATAGTAGAGCAGAGCATATGGTTTACATAGTAGGGCAGAGCATATGGTTTACATAGTAGAGCAGAGCATATGGTTTACATAGTAGAGCAGAGCATATGGTTTACATAGTAGAGCAGAGCATATGGTTTACATAGTAGAGCAGAGCATATCACTTTGCTCCTGTGTTCATTTGTTCTTTTCTTTTGGACTGTTTAGCTCAAAATTAAGCTTATACAACAGGTACTACATGCTATTTTTATGCCTCCACTGGTTTACATAGTAGAGCAGAGCATATCACTTTGCTCCTGTGTTCATTTGTTCTTTTCTTTTGGACTGTTTAGCTCAAAATTAAGCTTATACAACAGGTACTACATGCTATTTTCTAGACCTGGTTTACTTTTGAAGGTCAAGGTCAACCAAGTTATTGGGGTGGGGCTTTAACATATAGCATAGTGAGGGCACAGGTGTTTCATAAACATGACTTACACTTGTGTAGGTACAGTGTATCTGAAGCTTGGACACAAACTGGGGAGCAAGATTTTTTCTGGTGGTAATGGGACGAGAACCTCACATCCATAATCTGGCACACTGACCAATAGGCACGAGAACCTCACATCCATAATCTGGCACACTGACCAATAGGCACGAGAACCTCACATCCATAATCTGACACACTGACCAATAGGCTGTGCTTAGCCCCACTTTTACTTGGGACTACGTTTAGATTACAAATAAACTTTCGCTATGCGTCTTAGTTCATTCACTGATGTAACTTTTTCGATTTTTTACAACACATCTATAATGTTTCAAAACAGTCAAAATTCCTTTGTGATCTGAATGTATTATAAGAGTGGCAGTCAAATCCCACTATTCGATCTGACAAGAGTAACCGAAAAGCTGGTGTTGGTGAAAAGTGGTGTTGGCTAGCTACCATTGTTCTAGTCTGTTACTTGAAAATTAGGAACAGCTAAGGCAGATAGTTGTCGTGTAACCTTGCAAGGAATTCAACAAAACAAACTAACTAACTAAAAACGTCTTCAAGCAGCATAAATAGACAAAACTTCAGTGTACATATATATATATTTTTCTTAATTTAGCCTGTAGCGGAAGAACCTTTCCGGTTCGAGATGGAACTGGATGACCTTCCAAGGGAAAAACTGAAGGAATTAGTGTTTGAAGAAACCATGCTGTTTAAACAAAAAATGCAACAGCAGTCGTAAGATCGTTAAAGCAAGGTCCCGTCATTAACTGCAGTTTTTCAAGTAAGTGTAAAATTTTAATGTTTGTCTTGTGATTCGTAAGTATTTTAAACTTATTTCATGTATGTTTCTTCCTCATTATATTTATATGTCTTTTTTTTTTCTATCTCGTCCGTAGTTTGGGGACTGTGTTTTAGAAGTAAGAAGCTTGTTGGCTGGCCAACTAACTGGAAGAGATATACAGTATTTTCAAGATTTGTCTGTATTCTACTGTGCCAACTCAGAAATAGATTTTTCTGTTGTTAAAATTTGTGTTGAAAGTTGAGGACGCAGTATAACTGTTTTCAGTTGAAGTAGTATTTTTTTTTTGTTTTGCACT